CTAAATCTGACTGAATTATCACTACCTCCAAAATGCTCCCCCTAGTGATCCACCTTCCAACTGCCCAGGTTTTCTGAATATTAGCTCCAGAACAGTCCCCTCCTTTGCTGGGCTTTCCACATACTGCTTAAAAATATTCTCTTGGATGCAATGAAAGAATCCTGTTGTTACGGCCCTACCTTACACACAAAACATTCCCAATTACTATTTGGGTTATAATATTCCCTATTACTGCATTATTACGCTTTCACTTCTCTGAAATTTCATTACATAACTGCTCCATCATCTGACTCACTGTGGGCCTTTGGATTATACCAAACAGCCCATTTCCTGTGTCTTTTTTTGAGCTTCTAGCCATATGGCCTTATTTGATGGCTTTTTTCCTTTATTCATCCACAGGATGAGGGCATCACTGGCTAGGGCGGAAGTTATTTCCCATCCCTGGTTGCCCAGAGGGCAGTTCAGAGTCAACCACATTGCTGTTGGTCTGCAGTCACGTGTAGGCCAGACCAGGCAAGGATGGCAGATTTCCTTCCTTAAAAAAGGTCATTGGTGAACGAGATGGATTTTCCCCAACAATCAGCAAACGGTTTCACGGTTATCATTAGACTCTTAATTCCAGATATTTATTGAATTCAAATTTCACCATCTGCAGTGGTGGGATTTGAACCCAGGTCTCTGGATTAACAGTCCAGCGATAATACCACTAGGCCAACACCTCCCCAGTGACTGAAGCTATTAGTCCTCTTCACGACTCCTCGAACAATGTTGCCACTCTATCTTCTATTCCCCCCCCCACCCAATCTCGTCTCAATACCTTATAACTAGGAATCCTACCCATCTTTCAGCAGAGTCCAGATCAAAAATCCAAAAAAAGTTAGAGTTGCTCTAGCATACATGGTCATTAGACTGCTGGGAAGGTCTTGGATTTTCCACATAATGCAGGATGTGCAAATCACAGGTGAGCTCCCAGACATCTCCACTAAACAGAAAACAGACCCTTTGCTTTTATCTTACTCCTGTTCAAACTTAAGTATGGACTGGGGGGGGGGGGGGGAAGAGAGAGAAAAAAAAAAAAAAAAAAAAAGGTGGCACTGGCCTAACATAAATCGCTGGACTATTAATCCAGAAACTCGGCCAATGTTCTGGGGACCCAGCCACAGCAGATGGGGGAATTGGAATTCCATACAAAAACAAAAATCTGGAATTAAGAATCTATTGATAATCATGAAACCACTGATTGTTGGAAAAAAAAACCTCATCTGGCTCATTAATGTCCTTCAGAAAAGGAAATCTGCCATCTTCGCCCAGTCTGGCCTAAATGGGACTCCAGAGCCACAACGATGTGGTTGACTCTCAACCGCCCTCTGAAACAGCCTAGCAATCCATTCGGTTGTATTAAATCGCTACAAAAGTCTCAAAAAAGAAAATGAAATTGGATGGACCTCCTGGCACGACCTAGGAATCAGAAACAACAATGACAAAAACAGCCTTACCAACCCTGCACATTTCTCCACATTAACAGAGTCATAGATAGAGTCAGAGTTGTCCAACTCATCCATGCCGACCAGATATCCTAAATTAATCTAGTCCCATTTGCCAGCATTTGATCCAAATCCCTCTAAACCTCTTGATTTTAAGTGCTTCTATAAAGGCCATCCTTCAGCCTTTGACGCTCCAGAGGAAATAGCCGCAGCCAATTCAGCACTTCCCTATAGCTCAAATCCTCCAACCCTGGCAACATCCTTCTAAATCTTTTCTGAACCCTTTCAAGTTTCATAACTTCCTTCTTATAGCAAGGAGACCAGAAATGCACACAGTATTCTAAAAATGGTCTAATCAATGTCCTGTACAGCCGCAATATGACCTCCCAACTGCTATACTCTACATACTGACCAATAAAGGCAAGCATACCAAATGCCTTCTTCACTATCCTATCTACCTGCAACTCCACTTTCAAGGAATTATGAACCTGCACTCCAAGGTCTCTTTATTCAGCAACACTCCCCAGAAGCTTACCATTAAATGTACAAGTCTTGCCCCGATTTGCCTTTCCAAAATGCAGCACCACACATTTAGCTAAATTAAACTCCATGTGCCACACCTCAGCCTATTAGCCCACCTGATCAAGATCCCACTATATTCTGAGGTAATCTTTGCGGTCCACTACACCTCCAATTTTAGTGTCATCTGCATACCTGCTATGTTCACATCCAAATCACTCTTATAAAAAAAAGTGATAAAAAGCAGCAAACCCAGCACCGATCCATGTGGCACACCATTGGTCACAGACCTCCAGTCTGAAAAGTAACCTTCCACTACCACCCTCTGCCTTCTACCTTCAAGCCAGTTCTGTACCCAAGTGGCTTGTTCTCCCTGTATTCCATGTGATCTAACCTCTCTAATTAGTCTACCATGAGGAACCTGGTCAAACCAACATCTGGGGCTAGTGTCCAAAAACAGAAGAGAGCAGTCTCAGATTAGTCAAGTGACAACCTGATATTGTTTGTAAGGTATGGCCCTGTAAGTCTGACCATGTCCCAGACACTACCATCATCCCTGGGTATGTCCTATCCCACCAACAGGACAGATCCAGAGGTTGCAATGGAGTGATATCCAGTTGGGAGGGGGTTTCCCTGGGAGTCCTCAACATGGTCTTTGGACTCAGTGAATTCTAATGGCTTCAGATTAAGCATAGGCAAGGAAATCATCTTCTGGTTACCACATACTATCCTCCCTCACATGAATCAGTTCCTCCCCCACAGAACACAAAAACCGCTGCACAGGAATAGGCCCTTCAAGCCCAGCATAACTGTCCCGATCATGATGCCATTCCAAGCTAAGCCCATCTGCCTGCACAAGGTCTGCATCCTTCTATTCCCTGCCTGTTCATGGATCTGTCTAAATGCCTCAAACATTGTTACCATATGCTACCACCACCCCTGGAAGCGTGTTCCAGGTATCTACCACCCTGTGTAAACAGCTTTCTCCCTATCACTTTAAACCTATGTCCACTGTTGTTTGACAATTCCACCCCGAGAAAAAAAAAGACTGACTATCCACCCTATTCACTTCTCTCAATTTTAAAATACTTCCAACTACTCAACACAGCCTCCAAACCTCGAGTGAAAACAATCCAAAAATTTGCCAACCCTCTCCTTCTAGCTAATACATTCCAATCCAGGAAATATCCTGGTAAATCTCTCTCTCTTGAAGGTGCACGGGAGTGTCCAGATCCTTCTTATAGTGTGGCGACCAAAACTGCACACAATACCCCAAACATGGCCTGTTCTTAAACATTTAATATCTCACAAGCTGTACTTACTGGCTCTGTCAGAGAAATGTATTTTTCAATCTTAAAAATATTATTATCTTCCACAAATCCCAGGCTAAAGAAAGGAAAATATTCTGTTTAAACATATTCAAATTGACAATCTACCTTTATTAATTTACCTCAAAGCACAGTTTTAAGATGCTGGAATGAAGCTCATATTTAGCCTATACTACTCAAAACATTAAAAATTCTATAGGCTGGTTCGTGATGATTCTCACATTAACGTTTGTGTGGTGAAACAAAACCCTGTACTGATAAGTGGGTGATGGAACAGGAGACATTATAGGAACACAGCAACTCTTAATTCAAATGCAGAAACTGCCAGATTAAAAGCCACTTAACTAAAACTTAAGATTTTGCCTTGATATCATGTCCAATGTGGAAAAATTGCTGCGCTGTTTTACTTTTTATATGGCATTTCCTTGTGTCTATTGTAAGTGACTGTAGCATTATCCCAAAAGTAGACAAACATCCCCACATTTTATTTGCACGTTAACTACATGATTTCATACCACAACTATACCAGAAATTAAGAGAATAATGCAACAGCAACATATTTTCCATGATCACCTTCTAGCTGCGAGTGTAAGCAAAACAACCAGTTGGTGCCTAGGGAGGTTTGTTCTTTCTCCCTCCACACCAAGGAAATAAATTGCCTGCACTGATTTTGCAGTCATCTTTATTTTTAAATCCTGGAGTTTGCACCTAGTGAACAGTAGTTACTGATACGAAAATGGAGAAAAAAGTTTGTTTTTATATACTGACTGGACATTCTTAGAATGAATCAATTGGAAATGACATAGCAGGTGATTTGGAGATCAGAGTGGCTACATTTGCAGCTGTAAGATCAATTTAAGATTTAATTAGATCTTGTAACATGGAATAGTGGAAGGAATATTGGTCATTTGTTCTTTAATCTGACTGGTCAAAGGAACTATACAGTAACATTAGCAGTTAAATCTTTCACCTGTACGGTTGAAAAGTCACTGCTGCTGCAAAAATCACCAAGATTAGCAATAGAGGCTAGCATGTGCTGACTTTATCAAAAAAGTTAGTAAGTGCAAACAAAAATGCATGTTAAAATGTCGCTTGAAACTGGTTTGTGCTTTTTTTGGCACAGAAGCAAACATACAATTTTAATTCTACAAATTTATATATGACCTCAGCGGTGCGATTGGGAATGCCTACATCAGATAGCAATGGAAGCAAAATCCAGTATTGCATTCAAGGTAGTTGAAGTGAAGTGATCTTTTAATAGGACGAAGAACAAGCCGAGAAAGAAGGTTGAATTACCCGTTTTTCAAAAAAGCAGCTAGTAGAGACACAAGGGGCTTGATTCTGTAGTGCAACATCTTAAAGTTTTAGAGAAAATGTCTCTTGATCAAACAATTCAGCCCGTGCCCCAATTCTTTGCAAGCACTGCCTGCATAACAAAAAATCTCTGGCAATTTAGTGCAAGTAACACGGCTTATTTTTAAACACAATATATATCTCCTTCCGAGATACTGCTGCAATTTATTTTAAATCTAAGATCTGGTGAATTAATAACAATTGCTCACTAACTTTCAGCCCTTTACAGATGCTAACATTATTCATGACGCTGAGGTCATTGCGAGGCATTGCTTTAGATAGCTTTAGATCCAGCAAGAGATGCAACATATTGGTCGTGATGAACGAGAGCATATTTGCCTAATGTCTCCCCCTGCTGTCTGGAGGAATGACTAGCCCAAATCTGAGATCAGCTGCGAGATGCAATTTAATCGTACAACACCAGAATTGTAAGTGCAACGAGTCACAATTATTTGATGCTAACGGCAGACTGTAGAAACGCCTTCATAGATTTAAAAAAGCTGACTTAGTGCAGCATTAATGTAGCATATGTAATGCAGCACACTAAAAGAAGAATATTTCAGGCAAGTGTGCTAGAGTTTTGACTCTATGGTTACATTTTTTTGATCACAGTTGTTAGGACATGCCATGTCCTTGACGAAACGTAATTGAAGGGCTACATGGGTGGAGAAAGGGAATAAGACTGATCTTATTTCTTTACAGACAACTGTCATGCACTTGATGGGTTGAATGGCCTCATTTTTGACACAAGAACACTGAACAGCTACCTGGGGGCTCTATGCCAAGTGTAACTGTTAATTGGAATTATCATTGGCAAGCAAAAAGTAAGTAGATTAATCATCAGAAATCAGTAGAATGAAACAATTTAATCCCATTCTCTAAAACCACACTCCTGTTTTCCTACACGCAGCACAAATAAACAAAAAAAGGGGAGGAATTAGAGTTCTTTCCAAAGTGTAGAAGCAGACAAAGGTTTCTTTGGCAGAAAACAGAAAACGCCAAGCGTCCACATAACATTTCATAATTTGTAGATACTAAACACATTCAAGTCGCAAACAGATCAACATGCAAGTGCTGATCCTCAGCATTACAGTTACCAACTTCAAATCAATTTGATTCACTCCACAAGACACCAAGAAACCAGTTGAACCATTGGATACTGCAAAGGCTATGAACCCTGTCAACATTTCAGCAGTAGTACTTAAATCTTGTGCTCCAGGACCTGCTGCACCCATGGCCAAGCTACACACAAGTGCCAGGCAATTATCATATCCAACAAGAGAATCTACAACAGTTACAACAATGGCAAGTGCACAACAATGTGAAAAATTGCCCTCGCATGACCTGGACACAAAGTAGGACAAGTCCAATCTGGCCAACTACCACCCCAGCAGTCTACTCTCGATTAAGAGTAAAATGATGGAAGGGGTCATCAACAGTGCCATCAAGCAGCATGTGCTTAGCAATAAGCTGCTCACAGATATTCAGTTCTACCAGGGCAATTTGGCACCTGACCTCACTAGATAGGTGGTTCAAACAAGGACTAAATAGCTGAATTCCAGAGGGGGAAGGGTGACTTCCCTTGACACCAATACCACATTTGACCGAGTGTGGCATCAAGGTGCTCTTACAAAACTGGGGTCAATGGGAATCAGAGCCAAAAAAAAAACAAACAAACAGTCCTTGTAGGTTGAAGTCATACCTGGTAATAAAAAGGAAGATTGTTGTGGGAGTTGGAGGTCAGTCATCTCAGCTGCAAGTTCTCTCTATAAGAGTCCCTCAGGATAGTGTCCTTGGCCTACCCATCTTCATTATTTACATTCCCTCCATCATAAAAGTCAAAAAAGTCAGCATGTTCACTGACGGCTGCACAATGTTCAGCAACATTTGTGACTCTTCTGATACTGAGGCAATCCATGCCCAAATGCAGCAAACTGGACAATATCAAGGCATAAGCAAACAAGTGGCAAGTAACAATTGCACCATACAAGTATCAAGCAATGATCACATCCAAGAGAGAATCTAGCCATTACCATCACCAGATCCTCCACTATAAAATATCCTAGGTGCTGTTATGAACTAAAACAAAATGAACTGGACTAGCCATAGAAGTAGTGTAGCTACCAAAACAGATCAGAGGCTAGGCATCCTACAGCGAGTAATATTGTCCTGATTCCTCAAAGTCTGTTCACCATCTACAAGTTACAAGTTACAAGTTACAAGTTACAAGTTACAAGTTACAA